AAAATAAAATAAAATTTGCAAAATCATACCCATTAATAAAATGATACAAATATTGTACTTACTATAAATTTATGCTGGAGATTTTGTGCATTAATATATGAAGCTCTTTAACGCATTTATAATCTTTTTTATATCACCTGTACTACGAGACCTAATAGCTTTTTAAACAGAGATTATTTGCGCATGGCCTTATATAATATCTTTTTGCAATTTATACTTTGCGGTGGAGTACTTCAACATCTTTATTAATACGTATATATGTGCTTAATCCGTTTTTCAAAAACAACACTCTACATCTATAATAAGTATTTTTGTAGTTTGTTTATCTACTAATTGTAGATGCAGTTGAAATTTTTTTTTACTTACTTACGTTGTTTTTTTTTAACTTACTTTTTATTATTTTGTTTTGTTATTTTGTATATAAATAGTAATTATAAATAATATTTTTATAAATAAATTTTGTTGAAAAGATATTTTTTTTCCTTTTTCTAAACAATTTATTCATTTTTTAATTGTCAAAAAGTTACATACTTTGCTCCTTTTTCGTATTTAATAATATTTTGCTAATTGTAAGCAAAAATATATATATATATATATATATATATATATATATATATATATATATATATATATATATATATGTATATACTAATATAGAACTTATAGAAGTAAATATATATGCTTTTATTTTGCATTTTATTATGTCAGTATAAGCTCTTCTTGATTTAAAATCTTGATTACTTTTAATCAAAATAACTTTCCTCACCTTCCAATTAAACGTAAGAGGAAGGGTTCTTTATGGTGGGTCTAATACTAATATCAATAAAATGATATATAAAAAATTAGTTAAAAAAAAAAACATCTAAACTAGTGTTCAAAATATCTTCCACAACCTTTTTTGCAAGCAACACATCTTATTTGTATCGATTTAATAAGCAAGCTTTGTTTAAAACTATTTTCTAAATGGTCTAATTCTTGCTTTAGGTCTAATATGGATCTTATTTATACCTTGAATAAATCTTAGTCCATTTAACTCCAAATAGATTTGATTGGATTCGAATCTGACGATTGAGCTGTCCAGGGCTTTTACTTTTTTTATAAATTTACTTTGTTTTCTTTCATCCAACTTTTTACTGTACAAACTGTGTGGGCAAGCGCCAAATCTTGTTGAAGTTGCCACCATTCATTTCAAAAAATCAGCATGTCTACTAATGAAACCATGCAGTTCTCTAGCTTCTCTATATATATGTTTGTTAATTCGGCATGTATAAATGTTACAAATACCTAGTTCGTTAAAATTAAAGCAGCCCCAAATACCAACACTCTCGCCTTCACCTTGCAACCTTGGTACAATAAAACAATTACTATACTTATCCCATTTAAATCTTTTAAAAAGAAATTTACTTTTTCTATTTATAGTTTAAAGTTACTTTCATCATTAAAAATTACTTGCTCCCAATTCTCTCCCTACACTAACTAAATCTTGTGAGCTAATCTCTGGTCGTCAACATTTTCTCAAAGCTGCATAAACATCAATTTTTTTCCTTAGTAAAATGTTTCTAACTGTATTTGAAGAAATACGTTTTTCATAGTTTACGTTAAATGTGTTGGTAAGCTCACGATAACTTATCCACAGATTGGCTCTTACTTAATGAAATATAGGACTTTTTTCACGCTCAGTAGTTTTTTAAACTTTCCTCAATCTGCATGACATTGGAAGCCACCTGTTATTTTAAATGTCTTTAGAGTATATCAATTTTGTTTATGCAATTTTTTGAAATTTAAAATTTTCATGCAATTTCTCTATTACTGATTATTGAGCCATCCTTCATACCTATTATTTTCCACATTCTTACTTTACGTAGTCATCATATGTAAATTTATCCAAAATTATATAGGAAATTGACAAACTAACACATAAATTAATAAAACATTTATGAATAACAGTTGGGTTGATAAGAAAGCAGAACCAATCAAAAAGTTTGTATGGCTTTCTTTTTGCATCCTTTTCCAGAGTGTTTTCGCTAAAAAATTGTTAAAAAAAAGTGAACTTATTATTGACATGTTAGTTGTTAAGAAGTATTTTTCCTGTCGATTTAAAAAAAATTAAGTGATTAGCAAATATGCGTAAACTTTACATTTTAAAAAAGAAAATGAACTCAATACTTTTACTGCTCCTATTTTTTTTTTGAAATCATTGTATATTAATGTTCATAAAAGTATAAATACATACTTATTATTAAAGTATAAAAACAAAAGTCAAATTATTTTTTGTTAAAAAAATATTTTAATATTTTTTGAAAAAAAATTTTAGAGCTACAATATTTAAAAGAATAAACTACCAAAACAAAAAGCTACAAGAATTACAAAAACAAACTAACAGAATAAAAAGCTACAATAATAAAAAGAACAAACTACCAGAACAAATAAAAAAATAATTACAAGAACAAACTACAAATTAAAACAATATTCAACAAATTTCAACGTTCAAATTATATTAAAAGTATTGCCTTTTTTTTTTCATGACATTTTACAGAAAATTAATAATGTTACAACTATAATGTTACAGTTATTCTCATGACAGTTAGTAATGAGAATAAAGAGAAAATTAAGTTTTCACTTGTATTTAAAAATTTAATAAACTATTAAAAGATATGCACCAGAATGTCAAACTATTAAAAGATATGCACTAGAATAACAAACTATTACAAGATATGCACCAGAATGACAAACTATTAAAAAATATGCACTAGAATGACAAACTATTAAAAAATATGCACTAGAATAACAAACTATTAAAAGATATGCACCAGAATGTCAAACTATTAAAAGATATGCACTAGAATAACAAACTATTACAAGATATGCACCAGAATGACAAACTATTAAAAAATATGCACTAGAATGACAAACTATTAAAAAATATGCACTAGAATAACAAACTATTCAAAGACATGCACCAGAATGACAAACTATTAAAAGATATGCATCAGAATGACAAACTATTAAAAGATATGCACTAGAATGACAAACTATTAAAAGATATGCACTAGAATGACAAACTATTAAAAGATATGCACTAGAATGACAAACTATTAAAAGATATGCATCAGAATGACAAACTATTAAAAGATATGCACTAGAATGACAAACTATTAAAAGATATGCACTAGAATGACAAACTATTAAAAGATATGCATCAGAATGACAAACTATTAAAAGATATGCACTAGAATGACAAACTATTAAAAGATATGCACTAGAATGACAAACTATTAAAAGATAAGCACTAGAGTGTCAAACTATTAAAAGATATGCACCAGAATGACAAACTATTAAAAGATATGCACCAGAATGACAAACTATTAAAAGATATGCACTAGAATAACAAACTATTAAAAGATATGCACCAGAATGTCAAACTATTAAAAGATATACACTAGAATAACAAACTATTACAAGATATGCACCAGAATGACAAACTATTAAAAGATATGCACTAGAATGACAAACTATTAAAAAATATGCACTAGAATAACAAACTATTAAAAGATATGCACCAGAATGACAAACTATTAAAAGATATGCATCAGAATGACAAACTATTAAAAGATATGCACTAGAATAACAAACTATTAAAAGATATGCACCAGAATGACAAACTATTAAAAGATATGCATCAGAATGACAAACTATTAAAAGATATGCACTAGAATAACAAACTATTAAAAGATATGCACCAGAATGACAAACTATTAAAAGATATGCATCAGAATGACAAACTATTAAAAGATATGCACTAGAATGACAAACTATTAAAAGATATGCATCAGAATGACAAACTATTAAAAGATATGCACTAGAATGACAAACTATTAAAAGATATGCACTAGAAAAAGTATTCATATAAAACAAGACAAAGTTTTTAAAAGCTTTTTTTTTCTTTTCTAAAAAAAATTTAGATGAATAGCTTGTGAAGTCCTATATTTCACAATCAATCACCTGCTTTCATTAACAGAAAAAGTATAAAAATAGTACTAGAAATGATCTGATAAACTATCTAATTTAAAGTTCTATTTTAATAATGATGACACGCTATCTTAATAAAGATGCACATAACATTTTTTAATGTTGGTACATAATGTTCTATTTAATGACATACTATGTACCATCATACTAATGGTTAATACTATCTTCTATAAAACATTCTGTCTCAATGATGATAGAGAAAATTCTGTGGTGTGATCTAGTGAGAAGTTTAACAAAAAAGCTAATTCTTTAAGAGCAACTTTCTGTAAGAATCAGACAAAAACACAAATTTTTAATAGTGACCTCCCCTAAAATTGTTACTTTTTCAAAATATTACTATTAATAGTAGAAGCTTTATTTTGAAACTTTTTCAAAAAATATTTGCTTGTTCACCAGATATTGGACATCAAAGTTAGTCAAATATTTCAGAAATATTGACCAAATAGTATCAAAAGCATTTTTAAACTTAAAAAATAAAACAAAGTACATACTTTTTAATGGGTATTCCACTTGATTATTGTTTATTGGCTAGTTCTTAACTAAAAATGGTAAGAAATGTCATCATGAGGTCACAAAAATTGCACTAATTGATTCGAATTCTTTTCTTGAGTTGAATTTTGAGATAAACCACTTAAATTCTCAAAGTATGTTTGTATTTTTAGATACTGCCCAATATCTGGTAAACAAACAAATATTTTTTATTTAGATAAATTCCTAAATATTTTTTTGATAAAATATAATGGAATTTATCTAATAAAAATCAGCGATTTTGAAGATGATGCCTGATTTTTACAGAAAGATGGTATTGAGCTCTTCCTGATTCCTAGAGAAAGTTATTTTAATATTTGATGTTATTTAATAAAATATTAATTTTTAATATTTTATTAAATAACATCAATGATTTAAGGGGAGAGAAACAATTATTAAGTACTTATAACAAACAGTTAACTCAAAAGAATCTAAAAAAATACCATTTGGAGCATTTAAATGAATTGTTTCAAATGGACCAATTAACGAGTATCTTAAGCCAAGCCCTTGTGTCATTACAGTATCAATATCTTCAGGCGAACAAACTCCATCCTTAAAAAAATTATATAAATTAAAAAATATTGCACACTAAAAGCAAAGATTATCATTAGAAGAACTTACATATACAAATAACTGAGTTTTATTTTAGCTAAAACTTTAAAACAACAAGCTCCAACTGTCCTTCAAATGAATATCATATTTAAAGTCTAAAAGCTGTTGTAAATAATGCAGATGAAATAAATTTTATGATATGAAATGAATTTTATGATGACTCATAAATTGTACTCTCCAGTCCTTAATACAAGGGTGGGTGGGTGGGTCTTAATAAGCTTAGGGTGGGTGGGAATATTTTCCAAAAAAATAATAGTAAAAATAAAATTCATCATTAACAAATTCTCAGGAGAGTCAATTAAAATCCTTTAGAAATGAGTTATTAGAATCAAGGTATGATTTTTAAAGTAAAACATAAACATGTAATAACAGTAAAAAAAATTATCAGAATTATCAGTTAGAAGATACTAAGTAGTCAAAAGTATAAAAAATCAATAATCCAGAGTAAGTCTGGTAATACATAAATAAATTAAAAAAAAAAAAACTTGAACCTCTACAAGACGCCATGCTTCCATTAATACAGCATATTGAAGTCGATTAAGGATGAAACCATTCACTTCTTTCTTTACAAGTACAGGGTGTTGTCCAATATCTTTCATAATCTTCATTGTATCATCAACCACTTTCTAAAAAAAGAGTTTTTGCTAATACATAATAAATTTTCCATATTAGAGTCATTGGATTTAATTTATTAATAATTAATCAAATAATTTATTAATTTTTAATAATTTTTAACAAGCTTACATTCATTAAAAAAAAAGGAGCTTCATTTTTTAGAAAAAGAGCAACTACAATTTATTTGAGCAAGATGGGCTTTGCTTTTTTTAAAAGAATTAATAGCTAAATTATCTTTTAAATTAAATTAACTTTTTGTCAAAAAGAGCAAAAACTATGGCGTCTTTTTCAAAAACATCCTAATATGCCCTTTTCTCCCCTATTAATCCATAATACAAAAACATACTCAATGGTTTTATTTTTAAAAATTTGATTTATTAGCAATGAAATTTTTATAACAATAAAACTAAAAAATATATATAAGTTTGTTGATGGAAGCCAACACCCCTCCAAGCAATGTTACTGTGTTTCAAGAGATGATCTCTCAAAAGACAGTAACATGGCTTGGAGGGGTAACACAGATGTATGAATCTTGTTTTTCTATATTTTTGACAGTTGCAGTTGTGAATCTTTGCTCCATTACATTTTAGATTATCTGCACACTACATACTTAGATAAGTTATGAATCTTTGCTACATACTTAAATAAGTAGTAAAAACTAATTTATAAGCTTTCGTTTCAGCAAAAAAAGAAAATTGTAAATACTATAAATATATTTTTGTTTTATGAAAGCTTGCAATTAAAGTTATTTTTTACAGTTTCACCATGAACATTTTTCATGTTGGTGAGAAAATTAAAAATTTATTTATAAAGTGTTTTTGAATTGTTTTTATACTGTCTAGCATACCTATCTAAAAATCAATGAATAGTTTTTGTTTTCAAGAAAGAAAAGAAAAAAATTTAATCTGCCCAATGTTGACCTCATCATATGATAAAAAATATATTTAAAAAAATGCAAAAACATGCATCAAAGAAACAGATAATATATTCATTATTTAGTAAACCATCAGAGAATAAATATTAAACCACATGATTTATCTTATCTAGATCATGCAGTTAATTTTCAGACATTTGAGGACATTGTATACTTTGTAACAAATTACTGGTGCATACAATATTTCTTGAACATGTTCCAATTAAACTTTATATTTTGTCTTGTATAAGAAACTTGTTGTTTTCTGAAAAATTATGGAGAAAAATGATCTCAGTACTACTTAAAGATTTATTAATTTTAAAGAACCAACTTTACTTGTTAAAATACAAGAATAAACAGTAAGTTTTTGTAACTCATCATTTTTTGTATAAATGATAAATGAGTTTTTTTTGGAATCTATTGAAGAATCATATTCATTAACATTATCTTGAGAACACAACTTATTTTTAAGATATTATCCTTTGGAAACATCTTAAGACATCTAAAGATATACTTCTTTTCGTCTGAGACAGCAAAGAATTTAAGCAGAATGTTTTATAGAAGATAGTATTAACCATTAGTATGGTACATAGTGTGTCATTAATATATAGGAATATTGGTTTTGTATAGTTATTATCATCATTTTTGAAATCGACCTCTAAAGAAATAGTTAGGTAACAATATTCATTACTAGTGAAGAGATATCATAGTAGTTAAAGCTAATTGTACCCAAGGTAAGATGATTTCACCTCTAAAGAAATAGTAACAATATTCATTACTAGTGAACAGATATAGTTAAAGCTAATTGTATAAAGCACCCATACAATTAACTTTAATTATTGTAATATCTGTTAAACCACGATTAGCTATTAAATACTAGTAATAACTATTGTTTATACTAATGCAATGCCAGTAGACCAAATATTCATAATATCTATATAATTAAATAACTATAAAATTCAATTAAAAATATAAAAAATAATATTTTACATTATTTTTAACTGAAAAAATTATTTAGGGTAAGTTGACAAATAACAAGCAGCATGCGTTTTTTTTTTTTACTTAATAATTTTACTTAATTTTTGTTTTTAGTGGTTTTAAATAATTTAAAAAGCAATGCTAAAGTTGACATTTTTAATACAAAACAAAAAAAATTAAAACTAACAGCTGCTTATCTGCATGATTTAAATTCTTTTAACCAATGTAATATTTGAAATGTTTAACTTCCAAAAATTGAATGATTGTACAATAAATAAATGAAATAATCTATTTTTTAAATAAAGTTGTTACTTTCAATTGATTACAAACTTTAAGAAAAGACAGAAGTACCAAAAATACAATGAAGAAGCTATTATAGCTTCTGTTGCTGATGTCCAAGATAATCATTTTTTTTGAAGAAAGGCAAGTATTGTATTACATAAGTAATGTTTCAATATATTTTCACAAATATTTGTGTTCTTGAAAGCAACTTTCCATCTGTTAAATCTTATTTAGGTAGTTCCGACTATTCAATGATCTCTATAAACTTTTCATCTCAAACTTCTTCTTTGTAATATGGCATAGCGCAAAATTTTTTTTTGTAATATAGCATAGTGCAGATTTTCATAAAAATAATTATATACCCTAAAACAATAAACCACCTGCCAAGACATAATGAATAATATTTTGGTATTCTAATTGCCAATATTTAAGGCTCTATTTCTCTAATATGTAGTTTTTTTATATAAGACTTTATCATAAACTCCTAGATCAACTTTTGAACAAAAATATTTCTAAAAACCCCTTAAAATTGTTTCTTTTTCCACCATTAAGTAAAAATTTTTTTAAATAGATTTGTTTAAAATTTTATAAACTTTTCAATAATGTATAACATATACTTAGGATATTTACTTTTAAAGATATTTATACTTTTGTAAGACTATAAAAACTTTCTATTTTTTCGCTATATCAAAAGAGTTCAAGTCTTTTATAATCTCAATTGATTTTTACAAGTCCTCAAAGTTAAAAAGCCTCTAAAGAGTCTGAATCACTGATACCAATAATTAGACCCCAGGTCCTACATTAAGTTGGATATCAGATATTTATTCACTAAGAATTTTTACAACAAAATATACAAATTACCTAACAACACACCTTGAATAAATCTTCTAAATTTAACATATAAACAAAATTGTGAAAATGTGTATATGGTCTAAAAAAAAATTCAAAATGAAAACATATAAAAAAATATAAAGTTAATTGTATCTTAAATTATTACTATTTTGCAGATAAAAATAATTGGCTGTCCAAATTGATATATTCTCTTGGAAGCCGTTTGTTCAGATTCTATGTTTACTGAAAATTTTCACACAACTGCTTTAAATTTGCCAACTTACCCTACTTATAAATTCTATTTAAATCAAAAAATAAAAATTAAAAAAACTAAAATTAAAAAGATAACTTTATAAAATACACATACTTTTAAAAAACACTCAAGACAGCATAAAAAAAAGAACATCTTATACAAAAAACGGCATGTTAGTAAATGAATCATTCATTTACTAACATGCAGTTTTTTGTATGAAATGTCACAACCTTCATAACTTTTTGAGTTTTTGAAAATTTACAAACATTCAGAATGTTAGTAAATTTTCAAAAACTCAAAAAGTTATGAAAGCAACTGAATCATTTCTTTCTAATAGTATTAAAAATGCCTGTAATGGACTCTTTATTTCCAGTAATTTCTATAAAAAGTTAATACAAGACTCTTGTTCTGTGTTATGTTACATATCTATATTAATGATTTTCCTGATTGTCTTTTTCTAAAGTCAACTTGCTGATAACACAACAATCCATTACAAATTTAGCATCTGCTAAGGTTGCCACTCTTTAATAGAAATAGAGATTAAACTTGCATAAGTTAACGCTCTATCTTTTCTAGAAATACCATGGTTGCTAGCTAAAATAAAAAATAATTTTGAAAAAGTTTCTTAATGCTCAAAATATTGAATACAAGGAAAATTTATTTTGGAATTCTCTCTGGTCTTTATGTGTTCCTGTCTCATACAATTAACAATATATATATATATATATATATATATATATATATATATATATATATATATATATATATATATATATATATATATATATATATATATATATATATATATATATATATATATATATATATACATACAGTATTGGAAAAAACATTTGCAACCAACATTGAAAAATGCTAAAAAGTGTTCCTAATTTTACATGTCTTAAAACGAAATTATACTACCACAGCAAACAGTTCAGGATTCTGGAGTCATTACATGCCATGACATAAGCAATCAGCTGACAGGTGACAGGACACAGGCAGAATTTCGATGACAAGTGCCATTTTGCAGCAGACAAAACAAGTGCAACTTTTTTGGTTTGTTTCATTTTCTTAAGTCTGATCCGTGTCAACGCCACAGAAGTTTTTTAATAATTAAAAGAGTATCCAGAAGTGTTCAGAAGTTTCCAGAAGCATGCAGAAGCTTCCAGAAGTTTCCAGAAAAAGTATCTGGAAGCACCCAGAAGTATCTAGGAACATTCAGAAGCATCCAGACGCATCCAGAAGCTTCCAGAAGCATCGGAAAGAACCATCTAGAATCTTCCAGAACAGGTTCACACAAGTTCATTTTACTATATACGAGACATGTAAACCGACATATAATTCAGTCAGTATATGGTCAGTATAAGTCAATCAGTAAGTATTATCAAGACAGTTTTATCAAAGTGTTTTGAGTAAGTATTATCAAGACAGTTTTATCGAAGTTTTATCTTCGATAATACTTCGATAAAGTATTATCGAAGTAAGTTTTATCAAAGTGTTTTATTGAAGAACATCAATACAAGAAGTGAAATACAACAAGTGTTTCATTACATCAATACAGTCCACATCCAACCAAGACATTGTGTTCCACAGAGCATTATTGTATCATTACAAGGTAAATGTAACACGGTAAGCCTTGAGAAGCCTGATTATTTATTTTTATTATTTTTATGACTTCAAGTGCAAAAATGGCTCCCGACAGTCTTGGATTGGAACTAAGAAAGAAAATTGTTGGCAATTACGTGAGTGGAATGTTACAAAAAAGTATTTGTGATAAACATCGTGTGAAAAAATGGACGATATCAAGACAGTTCCATATATCGTTCTACAGGGAAGCAGATAACAAAGGTGGAAGACCGCACTCCACTACTTCTAGAGAGGATTCTATGATCGTCAGATCCAATGTGCAGAAATGGCGATATATATATATATATATATATATATATATATATATATATATATATATATATATATATATATATATATATATATATATATATATATATATATATATATATATATATATATATATAGGGTGTTAGACAGGAATAAAATTTATACAGCATTTTCATAATACTGGGAATTTAGGTTGCTGTCGACTGGTGAGTAAAAAAAAAAAAAAAAAAAGGTTGCACATTCAAAGTTTTGTAGGCAAATCTTGTTGGGCCAATGCTCACTACAAATAAAATATATACAAAATATAATGAAAATACAACAAATTTATATTTTATAATTGCAAAATTTTAAAACAGATTAATTATCAACTTGTTTCTTTCTTAGCCATCATGTCTTTTCTTTGCTAGCAAGAATACAACAATGATCTTTTATTTGCAACTAAATAATTAACGATGTGATACTTTGATCTCCTTTAATTGTGTAACTTGCTTTTAAATAATAATAAAAAGAAATATTATTTTAAGTGATATTTAATATGATAAAAAAATATATTATATTTTTTTATCATATTAAAAAAGTTTATTTCGAGCGTGTATGTCTGCAAATATAGAATACTTTCTTATTCATTTATTTTTTTATTGTAAGTGTAAAATTTAAATTTTTACAAGAGAACTTTTTTAACAATTTTAACGTTTCTCTAATTTTAACGTTTATCTTTAAAACCTGTCTTTAAAATGTTTTAAAAGTTTTAATGTCTGTCTTTAAAATGACCAGTGTCTTTAAAAACAACATACATTATAATAAAAGTTTTAATTTATTTAAAATACTTGTTAATATAAAAAAGGTTAAAAAAAGGTTAAAACCTTTTTTTAACCTTTTTTATATTTACACAGATATTCATATTTTTGCAAGCTAATTTTATATAACTTTTATCAATAAATAACTTGTTAGTGTAAATTTTAAATGTCTTTATTGTTTTAAACTTTGCCTTAAACTTCAATGGCAATAAAAAAAACTAGTTAGCTTTCAGATAAACTTGGCTTGATATTTTAACTCGCGTTTTAAAGGAGCATTTCTCAACATATGAGCTTGTTTATTTAGGTAATGATTGGGTTTAAAGCAATAAGAAAACTAGGTGATCATGCAGAAAGTTTTATCTAATGCACAATAATGATTAATAAAACCATCTAGCTCTAAAGATTAGCACTTGCTGTATGAACAAAAAGCTTTGATTTTGCAAAGTACTCTAAGGAATTCTGCGTTATAGGTGGTGCCATCAGGCTGGATAACACCCAGATATATAAATATATATATATATATATATATCGGTTGCTACACTTTAGGCTGAAAGTGAAATAATAGTTTGTTTGTTTGGCAGCACTGGTTCCTGTTTGTTTGTCATGTTAAATTTTACCATGCAATTCTTGTGTTTTTCTATCCACTTTGAACTTTTCAAGAACTTTCACAATACTTTGTGTTCTTAAAAGCACGATCAAGCTGTACAAAACATATTTTAACTATTTATATAAAAGATTGAGGCTAACTTTAGGCTTTAACTTTAACAATTCAAATATTATTCATATTTTTTAGGTTAGGTTTTCACAAATTATGGGTTGAATAGAAACACATAAATTCTAGTGTTTCTATTCACCCCGCAAGAAAAACTAATACTAAATCACATTTATACTATATAAAGTACATATTGTGTGTTACATATTTATGTTAGACATTTAACTGACACAGTTTTTTTGTTTCAGGACCCTGTAAAATGCCAAGACAAAAAAAAGCATTGGTTACAGGAGGCTACAAAAAGCTCAATCCAAAAACCACCAAAAAGGCACTTTCTGGCATACAGAAGGGACTAAGCTTTATATTATTATATATCGACACTTGAAGAGAAGTCCCAATATAAAGAAATATGGTAGTCAGACAGCTTTATTTCTCGAAGAAGAACAACTGTTCTTAGATATTTGGTGAATGGGGCTATCCTATTGACACTACAACTCTACAACTCCTTATAACTCCTTATTCTTAGACCAAACAGGGTAAAAAGTAAAGAGGTTGAACCTAATAACCTCCCTGGCTGTGACTTTATTGAATCATTTTTAAAATGTCATAATGATCAACTGGTTGTGAGAATGTGTTGGAATATTAAACAATTGAGAGCTGGTGTGACACTAGATATAATTAACAACAATTCTGATGAACTGACAAATGAATTAAAGGACGTGGCTTTACCTAACATTGTTAACTATGATGAGACTAATCTAAGTAATGACACTGGTAATTGAAAGGCCATTACACATAGAGGGACAAAATATCCAGAAAGAATTATCTTATTTAACAATTTTCAATTAACTCATCAAAGACATCTACGCCTGTGATGTTTGCAGTCGTTGCTGTTGGCATTATTTTAACCCCTTAATTTGTGTACAAGGCAATGTACTTGTACCAAAGCTGGACAGAGGGTTGGCCAAAAAACGCCAAGTATATTCGAACAAAATCTGGCTTGTTTGATTTCTTTTGCTTTGAAAATTGGGTACTGACAGTTGCTCTTCCATACCTGAAAAAACAAATAGATCAAAAATTTCTGTTTGGGGATAATTTGCTTTCTCATGCAATCTGTGAAGTTGTGTAAAAACAATGATATCAGTTTTATTTTTCTCCCAGCTAACTCCACCCATCTGACACAACCTCTGGACGTGGCATTTTTAGGCCATTGAAATCAAAATCGCGGCAGATTATGGAAGAATGGAAAAAGAGCCAAGGCAGAACCGAACTTTGTTGACGATAATGAGAACTTAAATCCCCAAAAACCATGTTCCTCCAAACAAGTTCAGGCAAATAAAAACCAAAAGCATATGGAGTTATCATCAGAAGATAAAGATTACTTTTCAGTGCAGGATAGTGACTCTTCAGATCCCCTGATCTTGATAAAAGTACTGACAGGGTCTCAGGCAAAAACCTCATCATCAAAAAAGATGACTACATGTTGGTCAAAGTTTATGGTAAAACAAAAGCATCTTTTAGATGCTTTTATTAAATACATGCAAGGTTGCTTACCTTGAAGACAATGGTTTTGTTGGAACATTTTTGAAAAGAGTTCAACAAAGTAACAAGTTTACCATAAGTGAAGAACAATCTCTTGTCTCCAGAAATGACATCACCCTAAAACTATCCTCCCCAGTAATGTGCTCAAGTGCATGATTCAAAGGCTTTATATTTTTCAAAAATGATTTTTCTGATTTCACAATTTATTAATCATAATTTAATTTTGTTAAATACAGTAATTGTCTACCTATTCAATTTGTTTATTAACAATATGTAACTTCTTTTTTTTATGTACTGAAATAAATCATTACGTTGAGAAATAAATTTGTATTTATCCATTTACAAATTAAAAATACCATATTTAACTGTTTCCATTCACTCCTGTTTCATTTTAATTGAAAAAAGCATGAAAATAGAAACACTAATTTTATTTGATTTTAAAGAAAAAAAATTAAAACACAATGAGTTTTGACTTTTTTTCTTTAAAATCAAATAAAATTAGTAATAATAATAAATCTAGAACAACTACAAATATGCAAAATTTCAAACCAAAGTTGAAAATTGTTTCTAATTACCCTGTTTTATGGTATCAAATATAATATATATATATATATATATATATATATATATATATATATATATACATATATATATATATATATATATGTATATATATATATATATATATATATATATATATATATATATATATATATATATATATATATATATATATTAATAAAACATATAACAACAGCTAAAAAAAGAAGACTAAAAAATAATAGAATAAATTAATAAAATTTAAAAAATAAGAATAAATATTGGTGTAATGGTTTTATTATCAAGGCTGCATTTAGTGAGCAACACTTACTTGTAACCCTATTTTAGTAAAAGTAAAGGGAATAATATGTATATTGAAGAATTACCTGATGGGTGTATGTGGCTGGAATAACTTCAACTAACGGTACAAGATAAGGTGGATTTACCTAAAAACAATTGTAAATAAAAAAATTTAAAATAGAAATAGATATAACTATTTTAATAAATTATATATTATATCAAATAACATATTATTGAATAAATATTATAATTTGCATTACTCTACTCTAAAAGTATTTATTATATTTATATAAAAAATTTATACAAACTATGTTACTAAAATTAAGTTATATATAAAAATTTATTTAAAAAAAAAAAGTTCTGGAATAAACAAGAAAGCAGTTAATTATTGTTAAAACTATAAAAAATCATTAAAATTTTTTTTTTGACAAAAACCATTTGAGCAATATAAAAATTAATTTAAAAAAATTTAAAATTATCGTAAAAAAATCATTAAAAAAAAATCATTACTGGATGTGAAACTAAACATTGTGCTTTATGAACCAATTCATTTGTAAACAATGATGGAAAAAGACAAGAGGAAGAACTACTCAATATTGTCTTTTCAGAAACTATGTTATCCAGTTCTTTAAACAAGTTTTTCTTCAAGTCAAGATTTTCAGGAATAGATTCCTATCAAAATAGAAATATAAATATACATTTTTAAAACTGAGTTTAAATTTTGAGAAACATATTGATATAGTTTTATAATAAAGAATTTCGAAATCATTTTTTGAAAAATAAATAAACTTTAAATTTATGGCAAAAATTTACTTATTTGTAATACATTAAACCTGCATAAAATATCAAAAGAATAAGTGAGGGCTTTAGTAAATACATCAACTAATAGATTTGTACTTGTGCAGGGACAGTATTGTCTCATATTATTAAACACAAACTTAAGTTTTATTGTTTTGTCGTTTGTGCATTTCAACTATTAGTTGTGAAAAAATTTAACTAAAAAAGATATTTGCATATCTAATTTGGGTATTGAACAAAACTGCACTGAATACAAAATCTTTAATAATTTTATAGGGTATTTAACAAAATATCAGGTTAATTAATAAAGCAACACAACATGGCATATAATATATAATCTTGTTTGCTATAACAATTTTACAAAATGAAATAGCATAAAATAAAAAAAAATTTAAAACTATTTCACTAAACATTTTTAAGAACTGTCACACATTTTAAGAATGATATTACAATTATAAAATTATATATTGTTGCATAGAGCCTTATTAGCAGTCTTATTTGTTTGTTTTTTTGTTTTTTTTAAATCAATTCATAATATTATTTGTCTACTTCATAGAAACTATACATAATCATTTTTAAATTATACTTTAGCATTTTTCAAATTATAAAAGCATCTCTTAAAATGAAACTCTGTAACAGCTCATTTTTAGTAAAAAGTGAACAAATCAATTCTCAGGTGACAACTATAATACTTACTGTGTTAATTTCTAAAATACTTGGATTTAGCTGTAGAAGAAACGATACTGATTATATCATAAAACAGCTGTCTGTGGTGGCTTCATCATATACATTAACTAAGGGTTTGGGTTCTGGCAGTCTATACCTATATCTAGATATGGTATATATTACTTTGAAAAATCTTAAACAAATTAATTGATAGTTGAAGTCAAAATTTAGAATAGTTTCTTACTAATTTAACAAATTAGTAATAAAAATTTTATTAATATTTTGTTGTGAATACACTAACTCGATAGTGTATTCACAAAAAATTCAAGACATAATACACTTACGCAACAAAATTTTTTGTGATAAAATTAAAAAAAAAAAAAAAGGATAAATAAAAAACACCTGTACAAACAAAGCTTCATTCACAGCTTGCTGAAGAGTGGTACTTGTTGAGAGCAAACTCATTGCATCTTCAACTGTAGTAAATTTTTCATTAACTAAACCTTTTTCTTGAAATTCTTTTAGCAACAACTTTACTCCCTCTACAGCTGATACCAGTTGATCTAAGTTGTTATCATACAAACAAACAGAATATCCTGCTTTGCAAAACATCTACAATAATAAAATTTTATTTTTTAATTATAATTTTATATAATTTATTATATTATAAATACATATACTATATGATGTATGTATGTATGTATATATATATATATATATATATATATATATATATATATATATATATATATATATATATATATATATATATTTTTTTTTATTTTACTTCACCTCCTCAAGGCCGAGAAGGCCACTACAAACGAGGAGGCTACTTATTTTGTGGCTATAACCCTCTCTCAACTCTATAACTCCGAAACACGAACCTTGACGAACAAGGCCGCTGCGCGGAGAAACGAGTTGAGCGCGGTACTACCAGGGACGTGGTGGGGATCGAACTCGGAACCACTCGTTTATGAAGCGAGCGCTCTACCACTACACCACTACCGCATATATATATATATATATATATATATATATATATATATATATATATATATATATATATATATATATATATATATATATATATATATATCAGTACTCGAAATAATTATTCTATAGTTGCCGATCAACATTGATCGGCTAAAACAAAATAATTAAAAACCAAAGAATCAAATAATTTTTTAGACAATCAATTTTTTGTTAAATTTTACTAAAATTTACATTTTTTTGATCCTACCTCATATGATTTTTGTTTTGCTGTTATAATTTTATAACTTTTAACTAATTATAATTTTATTTATTCTCTTTAAAATTTAAGTAAATTGTTCATTTTGCTGTTTTGAATTTATTAATTTTATTTAGAATTTAAGTATACCATTGATTTTGTTGTTTTTCTTTTTGTATTATTTTTATACTTTTTTTACTTTAATTATTTTATTTAGAGTTTATATATATATTCTGTTTTGCCAAATTTCTTTTTAATTGTTTTAGTTTGAATATAAATAAAACATTACCGTTTTTATGTTAATTATTTCGTTTGGAATTTAAACTAACATTTATTTTGCCATATTTATTTTAGTTATTTTATTCAGAATTTATGTTAATTATTTTGTTTGGAATTTAAATTAACATTAGTTTTGCCATATTTATTTTATTTAGAATTTATTTAGAACTTTTTCTGTTTTTATTTTAGTTATTTTATTTAGAATTTAAATAAATCCAATGTCGTTTTTATTTCAATTATTTTATTTAGAATTTAAATAAATTGTTTGTTTTGCCGTTTTTATTTTAATTATTTTATTTTGAATAAAACTTAAAACTTTGCAGTTTTTTTATATATATTTAATTTAGAATATAAATATGTTGCCGTTTTTATTTTATTTTATTATAGAAAATAAACATATGGTTTGTTTTGCCATTTTCATTTTATTTAGAATTATAATAAAACTTTGCTTTTTAAAAAATTATTTTATTCAGAATTTAAATAAGTTGTTTGTTTTGCCATTTTTACCTTCATTATTTTACTTAGAATATAATTCATTTCAAAATAATTGTGATACTAATTAAATTTTAACTTTCTGTATTTAAAATGTTTTTGTATTAATTATTACAAAAGTTTGACAAGCAACTTCTGCCAATCAAATTTGATCAGCAGATTTAATATTAGGCAATCAAAATGTCAATTTTTCCAAAAGTAGGTGATCTTTGATTGTTGATCAGCCGCTATTTCGAGCGCTGTATATATATATATATATATATATATATATATATATATATATATATATATATATATATATATATATATATATATATATATATATATATATATTAGGGTAGATCAAATTTTCACTTTTTTTTTAAATTCGTACTAGTACTGAAAGGTTTAATTATACAGATAAAAAAAATAAAAAGTTGAAGGTGTTTAATTAAACGGCCGCTTGCGGCTCAGTGATCAAAATTTAAAAGTGCCCTCATCAACATTTGCTAAAAAAATATTAACTTTTTGCTTGTGGTTTCATACTTTTAAATAGATTCAGACAAAATTTTAATCAAAAAAATTTGACACGCCAAGGAATAACTAAAATACTTGTATTTAAAATTATTGATACAGTTTTATCATTAGTCCAATTTATATTTAAGTATAAATTTTTCATTTGTTGTGTTACATTGATTATCTAATTAAACGCTTAATAAAATCCAATAAATAATTATTATTAGTTTAATAATTCATTTAAAAAGCAATATTAAAACTAAAAAAAATTTATTTCAAGAATGTAGCAAGCAAGTTAAGAAAATAAATCATCATACAACTGAGAATAATTTCCTTTTGACAAAAACCTTTGACGCATTTTTCTGCTAAGTAGTTTTGTTAGTATAGATTTATGCCTGGCTTCAAATCTCTATACAGTGTTAAAAGATTCAGAAACTAATTTGACACATCTCTCAACGCTTTGGGAGTGAGAGGGGAAGTCTGGAATATTAGGCTTTATTTTATTTTTAATGAATGTGTGAATATCTTCATTAGAAAACTCTTTTGTAGTTGGTGGCTCCATTTTGATATAAGCAAGATCAGCAGTATCAAAAGAGATATCCAGCTTGTAGCATTTTCTATTTCATAACTGCTTTTGTTTCTAAAAATAAACGTTGTGTCTAGCGCAACGGTACCGTTCTTTTAATTTTTTATCTTAAAGCCACGGTAGTAAAGTTTGATTAGTTTACAGCTGCTTGATAAATTATAAATAGAAAAACTAATTTTAAAGAGTTTACTGTTTTCTGAGAGTAAGTATTGTCTCAAATCCAAGAGTCCTGATCTGCTCATCATCATTTTTAACCATTGCGTAGAGAAAATTTGCAGGCATTAAACAGAAAGCATTACCTTGAATTTTTTTTTTTTTTACATTTCTTTTTACATCATCAAACTTAATAAGATACAATTGATTAATAGTGAAAAACAGAATCTGGGGGATTCTTGCAATTTAAAAGATTTCTTTATTTGAAACCATGATGGAGCATAAACTTTAACAATATAATAGGTAAGCTTTTTTAGACTTGCATTTAGAGAAATATCTCGAGTGTACAAACAAAGAATTCGTATAGAAAGAGTTAACCATCGAACATGATTCAGTGGAACTATTTTACAATTAGCCCATTTGTCGCCTACTTTACCTAATCCAATACCTTTACATTATTCGTAAAGAAGCCTTTGATCATGACTAATATCTTTTAATATCTCATCTGAAATATATCTTTCAGTGATAGAAGTTTGAATTGCTTCAAACTCTACTTGAGGTTGTCTATGAATTTCTTCAGAACATCTATTCCCAATTCGTCCACTAAAATTTTGTGGACCGGTTGTTTTTCCATCTAACTTTTTAAAAAGGGCTTTTAGTGAGAGTTCATTCTGATGAAAGCTACAACCTATTGCGTGAAGTTTCCTTCCTATTAACTTTTCTAGATTAACTACTAAGCCATTATCCTCTAGCCTGTGTTTGATGCAATTTTGTCTAAAAGAATAGCATGGATGCTCTCCAGGCTGTCATATTCTTCAAGTACACTAAATGTTTCAAGAGCAAGAACATCCCCACTAGCACCAACAATGGTATTGTTCTGTGTTTCACGCAGATCCCGTGAGATTTGCCATCCTCATGTGTAAAAGTAAAGCAATGCTCTGCAGCAACACATTTTGTTATGAAATTTTTTCTTTCAGAATCATTTGCTTTTAAGTACATTTTCGTGTTTTTATCTATCTTTCCATCTAAACCAATGCAAAATAGTTGTTTCTTCTCTTCTGAATCTACATTTTTTGAAATTATTTTTACTTTTGACTTAGCTGTGCCTAATTTACACTTATCTATTAGAATATTATTGATATCAACTTCCGGTAACAATAGATGCTAACAACAATAGAGGTAACAATAGAGTAAGGCTTTTCCAAGAGCTGCCCCGAGATTTGAAGAACATCCGCCTCTGACCAGCTCCATTGCATATCTTGAAAACTTCTGAATACTCTAATCTGCCTGAGTTCTTTTACTTGGTTTCCATCCATCCTGTTCCTTAAGTAAAAAATTAAAAATAAAAGTGATTTTATATATACTAAACAAATTAAAATTGTTATTATTTCAGGTATACATTCTAGGGGATCTGGTAATTATTAATTATTCTAGGGGATCTGGTAATTATTATCTGGTCATTATTATTATGTTTGTGATGTGATATATTTCCTTCCTTCTGCTTAACCCTGTTGTTTTGTTTTGAAGCAGATGTATCTACTGAGGACATTTGAAATAACCCTTTTAATCTTGTTTTTAAATGCTGGTCATGTATATAAGCTCTTTCTTATATTGGAACTTTTGGTTCTTTAAGGCATATACAAATAATGTGTTCCATTTTGCATTTTTCTTTTTTGCACTTTACATAAACATTGTTACATGACACAATACCCAATGAACAGCAACAAGCAGATTTGTCAAAAAGTTTATCTAGTTTAGAGTCCAGGTTTTGTTTGATATTTTCTTTAGCGCGTTTGGGGTTTATTTTTTTCACAGTCCCAAATAGATTTTTAATTTTTGTTTCAAAAGACTTATAGTTTGTTAAAGGTAATTGTGGATTGAAAAATAACCATATAGATTTTAAATCACATGAAATACGCTTAAAAATTGCCCAAAAGTAATAAAAAAATTTATGGTAACACAAATTAAAGAAGTTTAAATAAAAAAAATTTTGAAAATATGTACTTTTTATTTTTTGTTAAAAAATGATAGTTTTTAAGCCATAATGATTATTATTTTTAAAATTTTTATAAAATTTCACTTCTTTTGAGACCCAACATTATATACTTTTGAAGAACTTATTTTTTCAAAATATTATGGACCTGTTTGATGTTTAAGGGTTTTGAGCGACTAAAATTTTTTTTTATTCAAATTTCTTTTTAGTTTAGTGTTAATTTATTACATAGAACACATTTAAGGGATGGCAGCAAACAATTTCAAAAAAATTTGTTTTTAGTGGCACTCTAATATATATATATATATAGAGATACACACACATACATACATACATATATATATATATATATACATACATATATATATATATATATACATATACAT